GTTCCATCCGCCAAGGTGCCATTTTGGTACATTTTTGTGACCCACAGCCGAATGGAGGTTGATCAAAAGGTCCTTTAGATGGGATGACAGCTTTTGGCCTTGCCTGTACCCCCTCCAACCCCTTTAAACACGGCTGACCGTGTCACACGGACGAGGCTCACAGAGAGCAAAGGATGACCATACAAGGGCGTGTCAAAATCCGGCGAGGATATGGAAAGAAACTCGCAACATATTGGGCATGCGATAAAATTGTGTTGTTTCAGCTATGCGTATGGATAAATGCCATTTCCACATATGACATCCCCAGGGGTTCTGCGCTGGTCAGGAGGATTGTAGTCTTCCACAGCCCTAAGATTTTCCACCTTTTTTGTCGGAACGAGTGTAGTTACGCTTGATTAGACGAACAAGGGGGGCACCTAGGTTGCAGCGGATGTCTCCAAGGTAGGCCCAGGCCCCATGTCCGCTTCCATGCTTGCTGGGAAAAGAAAACTCATTGAACACGTGACCCAAAAAGTCCGTCCCATTTGTAGAAAAGTTTCATACCGACGTGCGGCGCAACTAAACCACGTAAAGTTGCAGCTTCGATCTTCCGCTGCAAAGCTGCGTGCTTTTTCGGATTCGGCGCTGAAGTGAAACACGTGAGCTTTAAAGTTGGCGTTGGGCGTGTCTTTTTCGAGGGCAGCCTTTTTGTGGTTGCCTTGCCGGGGAACTAAAGGGAAAGAAACCTGTGGTAGAGGTGCATTTCTATTTCTATTTGCCCCTGGAAGGGTCTCATGGGGGGGGAAGCTTCCGCCTTCACGGGAAAGAAACACATCCCGAGCTCCAGTGGTGCCCCGCTTTCGAGGGGCTTTCCCTGTAGCATGGGTTTGCCTTCTCTTCAGGGTACCCGCATGTCTGGTGGCTTTCAAGGCACGCCAAGAGGAAAAGCCTCTCAGTTTTTGTGGTCCCCTAATACTGGGGTAGACTTAGGATACATTTTGCATTTTACCAGTGACTCCATGTGAAGCAAACAATAAAATATACATTCTATAACTGGGCCTAAGTCTAATCATGAATACATGACATATCCAAATCAGCAACCAAAAACGAAGCGTGCACTCTTTTCTCCACTGGCCACGTTTGCGGACAGAGGCCGCGCTGCGGTCCTGGGTGAAGCGATGCACCGGAGAAACCTCGGAGCCCAAGGCGAGAGCAGGGACCCAGTTCGGTGCCTTTTCAGGGTTGAAGACCTCCATTTGCTCAATATGTTGTATTTATTTTTAAGAATCCCTTGATGGGTTTAAAAGGAATTCATCACTACTGGAAATATATTTGATTTATTCCTGGGGCCTCAACCAAATGGCTGAAGAGAAATCAAGGGAAGCTTGGTGGTGGAAGTCATTGCCAAGGTCCCCCTCGTCGTTTTCGAAAGCCTCAGCCTGATGTATGGGGGTTCGGGCCAAATTGCAAGGGCATGGCCCCTTTGAGCGACACAGGGGAATTCACCATGGCTCCCAGCCGGTTCCTCTTGTTTTTGGCTTTTAGCTGGTTTAGTGGTTGGGTTTCCACTTCGTTAAAAGTTAAGCCTTTGGGAGATCTGCGGACAGGAAAACCATGATTTCCGGGCTCCTTTTTGAGGGTCCTTGCTTGAAGGTACCCTGGTTGCTTGAAAGGGAATCCAACGGGAAACCAACGCCACTTGTCCCCTATTCAATATCCAGTTTCGCACCCCTTACGGGGTCCACAGTCCCCGAACCCAGGGACATATTGACCAACACTTGTAGGTTTTGGCCAGACATCTTTATATAGTACCAAGTTTTGATGTGACCCAGTTGTTCAGTGGCACTCCTTTTTCCTTTGTTTGTGGCTGCCCCCCCCCCCCTCTTGAACAGGGTAGGGTGTGGGCCGAACATGGCTAGATGGGCCTTAGTTTCATGGAACGGCCAAACATTGCCCTTTTCTGTGGTAACCATTCATTTTGTCTCTTGGGAAACCCATCCTTCCCATCAGCATTTGCTGCAGACGTGTTTGGAAGACACGGCCTTTCCATTTGGAAAGGCGCATGCCTTGCTTCCGTGTGCATGCCTGCACACCAACACATATATATATACATATATATATATGTACTGTCTTTGCTGACCCCGCATGCATCCAAACAAGGCCTTTTGCGAAGCCGGACTTGACGCACATGGGCATTGAACATGGTCCATTGGGGGGCGGTTGTTTCGGGGGGCTGGTCTACTTTGGCAACTCGGGTTCCAGCTTGCAAGCGAGACTCATAAGCCGCCCTATTTGTTAGAATCCATTCAATGCGGCCGTCCAACAATCCAAGAAACCGGCAGGAAGTTCTAGAAGCTAGTGAAGATTAGCCAGGGTGGCTAACTTTCTGTATTTCCTGGAGGTTTCTGAGAAACAAAGGTTCTCACGAGGAAGCCCGGTCAGCATTTCTTCCTTCAGGTTTGTGCAATGGGCAGCGCCAGCGTGGCGATTGGGGTCAAGAGCCTGGCACGAACCCTGCGACGTGGCTGGAACGAGTCAGTGGCCAACGAAATATCTCGGCGGTTTGGAACCAGCCGGTCTGTTCCTTAGGCTTTTAGATGTTTTGAGTTGGTTTAGTGGTTGGGTTGCCGTATTTATCCCACTAAAAGTGAAGCTTCTAGAAGACAACTTCTGAGGACAGCCCGGATACTGCGGATGGTTGCAAAATCCGTTTCTTCCACCAAATGGCAAACCATTGTGTAAGGGAAACAAGGAGAATCATTGGACGAGATTCAGAAAATGACACGAGAACGTTTGTAACGGTGTTTACGTTGCGGAATCGAATCAGAAACCAGGGTTTCAGAACGGTGGGTTTCGTCCACCCACAGTATTACAAGTAGAGAACAAGTTGGACGCCCTGCAAATTAAACCATGCTTTGTGGTTGATTTACCGAGGTCATCCATATGTGTCGAAACGAAGCCCGCTTTTTTTTGTGCGGTGGTCCTTTTGGTTTCCCTTAACCTGCAAACCGAAGCAGGGAAAAAGGTTGGTGTCCTGCAGGGTCTCAACCACTACTGTCCTTTCAAGTCAGATTGGATGCAGTGAAAAGCATCCGATTTTTATTCAGGAAACCCAGGCTTGCCACGGGAGGGTGAGGGCTGCGAAATGCCGCCCTGCGAATGCCCTGCACGCGTATGCCTCTGCAATGCTTACCAATTTCTAAAACGCAAAGCCACAAATAAATGTTTTGAAAAGCTTGCCAGCTCCTGGAGAAACGCATTCAATTGTTGATTTTCTGGTTTTGTAGCCCACCCGAGCTGATTGTTCAATGCCAGGGGCGGGTGTCACATCACAGGCATCGCATTTTTGGGGGGAGGCATGCAGCTCATAGGCGTGCGGCGGTTTGCAGATCCCGTATCCTTTGGGAAGAGTTGAAGATACGTCAGGGGGAGCGGAGGATGTTTGGCAACCGACGATTTCGCCACCAGAGGAAGAACATGGCGGATAAGAAGGGCGCCGCGCGTCTCTTCCTTTGTGTGCCGGAGATGGTGCAGGACTTGTTTGTTTCTCGGGCCAGCGCGCAGAGAAACCATGGCCAAAAACCCAAGTACTGACCAAAAAGCAGTGGTTGGGGGTGGTGGTGGTTGATGTTCCGCACTTCCCACTACCTTTGCAGACAACGGCCATTCCCCGCAAAGATCGGCAAAGTTACCACTAGAAGTTCCGGAAGACTCTAAGAGTCATGAGGGAAATGAACACCCACATCCATCACCTTGGCTTGATTAGTGAGACATTGGAACCCAACGCGTCATCCAGGAACCTGGTGACAGATGTTTTTATGTAGGTTGGTCTAGCGGTTCGGGCTGGTTTTGCCAGCCCAGCGGTGTTTTTCTTTTCCGGCACTAGTCTTGTCTTTAGGTGTGCTTGGGACGGGAGGCAGCCAACAGGAAGCGAGCTACAGTGGATGCCCCGATCCCATTTTGCAAGTAAACCAACCACTCTCAACCGCCAAACCATAGTAGCTTGCAATAGTTCCTTGCTTTATATTGAGTTGGCATCCACCGCAGTTTGGCTTTTCCATTTTCGGGCACCGCTTTCCTAGAGTGTTCCCGATGGCGGAGACCAAGCGCAGGAGACGTTGGAGAGCGGGGAGAAGGTGACTATGACGCAGATCAGACTGGAGATGCGTGCGAGGATATAGCTCGGCTCAAAAAGAGACCTGTTTGAAAGGGTTTCCACCTGTGCGATGTTTTCTTTTTTCGCCTGACACTTTTTGTAGAAATGTGTACGTTCGCACCAACCCACACAACATAACAACATAAGCAGGGAGCAATAGACACCAAGCCGTGCCGTAAACACAATGTTCCATAGAGCTGCAATGCTGCAAGAGCAGCAAGCGACGCCAAGTGCGAAGCCCCATTTCGTCGACTGGCACGGGAAAAAGTGGAGAGCGATGCGAGCGCTTGGCCGACCCGTGCCGTGCGGTCAGTTTTGGGCGCTTCATGGCTGAACTAGCCAATAGCTGTCAATGTCTTTAGGAAGCCACAAGGGATGATTTTTTGATATGTTCAGACGTGTGTTTTTTAGAGGGTACCTTTTGCGGGAGGGGTTTGTCCGGAATAGGGGCCGCATGGTGGACTAGTTTGGATCGCCATGGGTCCGAGAAGGGGTCCATGTTATGCCTTGGCCCTGAACTGCGTCACGCGCCGCTACTGAAGCATCGTAGCATTTTGTAGCCACTTTGCGGATCCCTGGCAGGAAAGCCATTTGGGCCGGGTGCTGGGGATTCTAGGGGCTCCTTGGCTCATGGCACCAACATGAGCCACAATCAAAACCCGGGTAGATGAAGGTTAGCAGCGGAATCTCCCAACCATATATAAATAGCCGCGGCCGCCTTCTTAATTCTTTACATGGTTGTGGGTTCACCATTTTTGTACCAGGTCTTGATTGTGACTCACATTTTGTTTTGAAGGTGCGACACATGGCCTCGCCTGGCTGCGCAACTGGTGTTGGGGGAATGGGACGGGGTTCCACGGCCCAGGCAACGGGGAGGCCGTGTCTCCGCTCGTATGGCCTGGGACCAAGAGGGGTCGAGTGCATCATTAATCGGATCCCAGGAGTGGCTGGAGCTAGTCAGGAATGCAAACTCAAGCTGTGGGGCAAAAAAACACATGTTTCCACCCCGCACTGCAAGTTTTCTTGCGAACCGTGGCGGAATTGGTTCACTCTTGCGAAACCGCCCACCATTCATGCATGCAAGCACTCCGTTCCGGGAATTGCACAACTTGGCGGCTGGTTGGTTGGATCTGAAACCTTCAATGTGTTTGGAACCCACAACCAGCAAGCCTTGCGCAGAAGTTGTTTTGTTGGTGTTTCCTCAGGGGGCGGCCAAGAGTCTCCGTTCTCCTTGCGGCCCCCTTCAAGTTCCCCTGCCAGACTGCCTCGCCAAAACCGTCGTGGCTCGAGCGACAGTTTTGCTCCGCGCTTGCCCAAAGTTTTTGCGGGCTGAAGTGAAAGGCGGGACCGTCGTATTGCAGTTTAGGTTCACCAAATGCTTCGTGTGGCCCTTTGCTGACTCATCCCTGAGAATCAGAATGCAGAAAGTTGTGCAGAACCGCAAACATGTTTTGTTTGCAGATATGAGGAGGACCAGACAGCCATGTGGATATTGAGGGCAAGTGGCTCCCTATGTCCTTTTTGCCCCTTTGACTCCTTGCCTAGAAATTAAATATTCCAGTGGATGCCCCTAATCTTGGCAAGTAAATCAACCACAAACCATGGGAAATTACATGGTTTCGCTTGTTGCCCACTTGCAACTCGTAGGGCATCCGCCGGTTGCCTGTCTCTACCAGGATCAGTTTGGGCCCAGTGTGCCCAATTTGACCGCGATTGACGCGCCAGGGCACTGCATCATGTCCGCGCTCTTCGACTTTCAGGGCTTGTTAGTGGCCTTTCTGAACGGGTTCCGTGGGCGTTGAGCGAGTAGCTTACGAACAAGGGGATGGGGTATGTGTCCAAACCCAGAATGTTGGTTGTGCTTTTGGTTTCTTCTTTAAAAAAACGGGCACTCTCAAAAAACAGACACCCAGGTGGATAATCGTTCAATTTGCCCGGGCCCCTTAGTTCACCCCAATGGGTTTTGTGTTTAGTTTACCGTATTCCCCGGGTCAGCGCTCACGAATCACAAAGAATCACCCTTCAAAAAGAATCACCTGCACTGACGGATTTGTCCAGGCCCAGTGAGCAACCTCAAGGCACGTTGGCCCATGATAAGTCAGAGCCAGTCTTGGAATCCGGGGCGTTCCACAAAGCCAGGGTTCATGCAAGGGCTACCCCAAATAGCGTTCTTGATTCCATGTTTTGGTTGGTTGGTTGCTTGCTTACTCGCTCGCTTGCTCGCTCGTCTTGCTCGCTTTTCTTGCTCGCTCGCTTGCTTGCGTGATATCTTGCTTGCTTGCTTGCGTGATACCTTGCCTGCTTGCTTGCTTGCGTGATACCTTGCTTGCTTGCGTGATAACTTTTCTTGCTTGCCTGCTTGCTTGGGTGCTTGCTTGCTTGCTTGCTTGCTTGCTTGCTTGCTTGCTTGCTTGCTTGCTTGCTTGCTTGCTTGCTTGCTTGCTTGCTTGCTTGCTTGCTTGCTTGCTTGCTTGCTTGCTTGCTTGCTTGCTTGGTTGCCTGCTTAGTTAAAAACCCTCTTCAGCAGGGGATAACAAGAAACCACAAATCTGGGCTAAGGTGACTTACCCCCCAAACAAACCTCTTACCCCACTGCCTTGGAAGGGCCACCCTAAGGTCCAAACCATCAATTTGGGGCAACCCAGGCACCTGAGGTCCCAACCACCAACTCGCTGAGGTGGTGATGCTCGTGAGCATTTGCACCTGCTCCTACCTGCGGCCGCGCTTCGGGAACTTCCTCCAGCCCAAGGCCGGCGGACAGAAAACAACACCTATGGAAGGCATGTGTCTTTTATTGGGGGTACCCGAGAACGGGAGGGGTTCGGTTTTTAGCGGGAAGCCCTTCAGGGGTATGTTGAGACAGATTTGGGTCACTGTGAAGATCACCAGAAAACCGGATGATGCAGAGAATTCTCTTGTAACGCAGGTGGTAAGGAGCCCACCAAGACTCATCCGGCTTTCAAAGCCAATCTTGAATCCTTTATTCCAGTTGGTAGTGATCCCCCTTTGAATAGCCCAGTTTAGAGGGAGCCTGTGCAAAGTCCCTTTTGTATCCTTTTGTGGTTCCATGTGAATTCGCCAAGGGTTTGCAGGCTCTTAGCTTTTACCTCCCTGGGAAAGCCTGTTTTGTTTTGTTCCTCTGCTTTAACATCTGGGCCAATTCAGAGGTGGGATGATGCCCAATGAGGACGTTCGGCAAGTGCCGAAGCTTTGTCCAGAGCCTTTGTGACGTGTTGTTGTTTTATGTGAGGGCAAAGGGAAGCCAGCTGGAAGGTCGATGACTCGGAATGGTTGCTGTCAATGCGCAGCGAAAAGAAAAGAGTTGGAGGGCGACTCCATGTGGAGACTCTGCCCAGATAGGCTCTACGGTGGTTTGGGGCAGCTTTCAGGGAGGGTTCTGAAGGGTTGCAAGGGGTTCCGGGGCTATTGGGGACACCACCTGGGCTTTTTGTTTCCCTTACCCCCGCCAACAAAAACGCACAACTCACTCGAGTGGATTGGCCAAATGGGTGTGGGTCAAAAATAGCTCGCCAAAATGTCTTGCCCTGGTAAATGGGAAGGACTAGAACCTGTGGTCTCCTGGTGCTTCAATTTTGACCCCATACCCAAATCCAGGTTTTTTGCCTATAAATGGTCCAAACTTAAAAAGTAACTCAAGTCCAACGCAGGGTGTGTGACGAGAGATGCGAGGCTGAGCCTTCTCCATAGCAATGGTTTCCCCCCTGATGCTTTCGGAAAAATAAAGAAAGAACAAAAACGCAAGGGCGCACACAGAGGAGCCTTTGCGCCCAGGAAGCATGAGCAATGAACACCGGGGTCACCAGTGGCCTCAAGCCATTGTGCCCGACTCTCTACTTGCAAGACACCCCACAGCTTTCAGCAGTTAGGGGGAAAACGAACAAAACCAAGAATCACAAGAAACCACATCAAAAACAAGAACCGAATCGACACCCAAAAAACATTAAAGCAAGATCAAAACCAACCAACAAGTCAAAACAAACGAGACAAAACACATAGACAACAAAACGAAACAAAGCACTACATCCCCCGCCCCCGCCGCCGTCCCCTGACTCTTGAGGCCCCAGGCTTCATGGGAATGTTCGGCCGCTTTGCGGTGATCGGGGACCGGCTGAGCCCCTTCGTGAGCGTGGGGTGCATAGTGATGGCGCGCCTGGGTTTGATGGCTGGGCTTAGGGCTCACCAAGCCAATCAAGCGAAGGTGGATCGACTTTTTGGTGGAGCTTGGGAAAGTGGCAATTCAAAGGGAAAAGACGGGTTCCCCTGCTTTGGAACCTTGGCCGAAACTCAGGATTTGGCCCTCAAAGGTTGATCAATTTACTGGAGTTTCAAGGTACATTGGGTTGGGTAGGAACCCATTTGGGTGGGTCCAACGCAGGGGTCAGAGGATTTCCCCAAATCAAAGGTTGATCAATGGACGAACACCACTTATATGTCCAAAAAGGAAAATGGAGGAAACCCTGTGACATGGCTGGGTCATCGTTTTTTGGTCGGAACCCCGCTTTGGTTGGGGAAAAAGAGTAAAGCCTCTTAAAGGGAACCACCTTTTTTGCAGGCGCCCGACAAAATGCGACAACCCCGTAGGTGCTCTGTTTTGATTCCACCAAGAAACTTCCATTTGCTTAAGAATATGTGTGGATTTTCCCCCTGTTGGTTTTGAAAGGGAATCTATCACTATTGCAAATATGTTATGTTTTGTCCAGGGGCTTAAGCAAATGGAGGTTGGCTCACTGCAACAAAGGGATGCTTGCAATAGACCGAAGGTCCGAATTGATGGGTGGATTCCATAGCGCAAGCCGCAGTAACACGCAGGTTGCGAGAGTAAGAGGTTGGCCTACAATACCAGGAGCATTCTATCCTAGCTCAGGATGCGCATGCCCAAGTTGTTTCTGTGCTTTGGTTTTTTTGGCCACCCCCAAACTCCCAAAAACGCGCGCACTCCCAGTGCTCCCCGCAACCCAAACAAAGGGGGGGGGATCTTTTTGACTTCTTTTTGCAGACCCAAAAGGGTCCAACAGGGAGGCGCAATTTTTTGGGAGCTAATTATCCGGCTTTTGCGGCCCGAGGATATCTACACTCTTCGTCAGATGAGGGCGGCGAGCCTTCTGTTCGATTTCACCCACGGCCTTTGGCCCACAGAAGGGAAGCGGCCAACATCCGTGAGAAAGGCATACAGACGTCACAAGCAGCGGCAAAAAGCAGCGGCGAGCTGGCTTTGATTTTTGGTTTCCGGCAGCTTTGGGCAGTGTTTCCATTTGGTTGAAGAGTTTTGTCCTTGGTTGAAGAGTTGAACTCTGCATGCATCATGTTTGCGCCGCACGTAGGCTCGTGCTGTGAAGAGCCCTTTGGTCACTGGTGAAGATCAAGCTTCTCAACTTTCAATGGAGCTTTCATTAATATTGAGGAACCCGCAATTCTTCCCAAAGATGCTAGCGCCCGTTTGTCCTGATGGTACAACCCGCCCCGAATGTTGCTTCATTTTAGGCATGCTCTTTGCCAACAAAGAAGAGAGTTGCGCCATCTACTTTGACCCAGGTGTCGACAGAGTTTGGTGATTGCTCATCAGCCACAGACAGTTGCCCTTGCCTTTGGCTTTGGCGTGGCTTCAAGCATAAACTCCACGGACAGGAGAATTGCCTCGATCAGAAAGTAAGGGGCCCAACAGCGAGTTTCCCTGTGGTTTTCAGTGGTTATCCAAAACAGGCCTCAAAAAGAGGCAAGCCACCCTCTGCTTGCGGCCGTCTGAGGTCTCCTCAGCTGAAATCTCCCCTGGGGCTGCCGCTCAAGAACGTGGGCCTCAGGGCGCGGTGCGTGGCGGGGTGGATTTGGTATGAGCCACGGCCAACCGCGAAACCGGAAATCTGCGGGAAGTTGCAGGGCACCCCGTGTTCCCCTACTTGTATGTGCGATTTAGGGTATTCCACCGTCTTACCGGAAGAGCGAAGATACAATCAATGGCAAGCCGTCAGATGTTGTTCGTACGGCGGTTCCGGGTGAACAATTGAAGCTGTCGCGCACAGGTGCACAAGATCTAGATGGCCGAACGCCCCTCGCCTGCCGTGCCGGTTCAAGCCGAACAGGCCACACGCCCCCCCCCCTCAATGAGACAAGCACGAAGTGCAAGCTCCTAAAGTGGGAGGAAGTAGCACGAAAGTCGCTGAATGTTCATACCGTCATACCATCCTGTGCCTGGGCTGTAATTTGCAGGGTTTGGATGCTATTGGGCTCTTTTGAATGGTTTTGAATACGTATTACTCGCTGTGGCTGCAGCATTTCTATTCCAAGGAAGCCCCCCCCCCCGGCGGATTTCGAGTTGTAGTGGCCATGGCGGAAGGTGAGCGCCCACAGACGACACAGGCACGGGCCGCACACGACGTTCTGCGCTGGAGCGAGCCCCGCGACGCGAATTCTCAGGGACGCGGGTTCGAGGACAAAGCTGGGAAACCGGAGGAACGAGCTCAGCTCCTGGAGTTTTTGTTTTTTTCTGGTTGGGTTCCCAAGACATGGGTCTTGACAATCCTGACCCTCTTCTCCATCATGGAAGTGGACAGGGGCCTTTTCTGTCAGCTTTTGTTCAATGCAGACAACATTGCCTTCCTCGCCCCAGATCAGGTAACCCCTAGTTGGTGGTTTGGATGGGTGGTTGGGAGCCTTGAACGCGTGGTTCTTGTGGCCAAATGGGAAACCGCCCGGAACACTAAACCACCAATCCAAGATAATCCAAGCCACCAATGCGTGGAACGCTGACTAGACTATATTGAACCGATGTGTATGTTTCGATGTCTCGAAGTTGATTCCAAGCGTTCAGTCTTCCTCTCACAGGTTAACACTGGGGCGCATCTTATCGGCTTCCCACTCACTTGTGGTTGGAGTTCCCAGTTTCCCTCCACAAGCACGAGGGGTTTGACCCCCCAAGCCAGCAATGCAAACCACCATGAATGTGAGGGTACATCTTGGAATCTTGGGCTGGTCCATCCAGAGTCGCAGGGGTCTTTTTGAGGGCGCTCGCAAGAGCAGCGCAGAACCAAAGTCCCCGAGAAGCTCCGGTTACGCCAGTCCAGGGCCCCATCAAAAGGGAAAGAGTGGGCAACGGTGGCTTTAATCAAGAGGCCGAAATGCCGGTTAAATAATAGAAACTTCCGGCAAGCTTGATTCGAACAACCAGGCCGGGGTCCTGTTCAGAGAGGAATACACAATCTGTGGAACAACAATCCGTGGAACAAATAAGCCAGAACCTGTTAACAAGAACAACCGGGCCAGGGTCAGGTCATCACATTAAGTGAAACAGGTGTTGAACAACCAGTCCAGCAGGTGTCCGTTGATAAATGGCAAACAATTTCGCCAAACAGGTTGGAGCAAGGCTGGTGCTTTGTGGGACACCAGGCATCTGAGTTCTGTTCGAAGCAGGCCAGTGCCTGTTTAACCAATTTGTTTCCGGCAAATAGGTTTGAAGAAGCCAGGCCGGGGCTTAGGGAAATCTCCGGCAAAGCTGGCCGTGTAAACCAAGCGGAGCTTCCTCCAAGAATTGCGAAGGTTTTTTTTGCCGGGTGCTGCTTAGGTTAAAGTCGGAGCCCCGCTCGGAAGACCCGAGGTATTTCAAGTCCTTGGACGTCAGCTACCGGCCGGCCTCGCTCACTCACCTGCGACCCTCGGAATTTCTCCCAGCGAGTTACCATTCGGGCAGAAGGGAAAGAACAGTTGGGGATTCCCGAGTAAAGGAAGGCATACTGTGGATGGCCGAAATCCTGCACCACTTTTGAATCCATGGGAAGCCATTGTTTGTTGGTATTTACAGGGGAATAATCGTTCCAGGGTTTCTTAGGTGGTGCAGAATTTCGTCCATCCACCGTAGGGATGATTTTATGGGGGTCATTCCATTTCTCATTCCCTTCTGAGAGGAAGCAAGAAGGGAATCTCATGAGATTTCCCACCCATCAGATGTATCAACAAAATTTGACACCCCGCCCCCTTGTTCAGTGGCTTTGACATGAGACTTGGATGTACCCTTCCAAACATGGAACCTGGGTGCTCAGCTTGAGAGTTTGATGCAACCTTTGATGCAACCTGGCAAACATGGAACCTGCCGGGAATCCTCCGGTTCCATGGATTCCACCCCCTAAACTCTTTGTCTGTGGGGTGTCAGCCAAAAGCGGGGGATCGGCCAAAGAAAGGTTGGCCTTTACCCTCTATAGGATAGTCGCCACACCTCAAAGAAACAAACAGAGTATGCCATTTCTGCTGGGGGCTTGGAGGCTTAACTTAGTCGCAGGAATTGTGTCCGTGGATCTTGTGGATCTAGTTTGCCTGTGTCGCTCACCGATTCGGGGGCCTGTTTTATCTGAGCCAAAGCCATGATGTCCAAAAACTTGGGAGCCAAGTTGTAAAGTTTAATTTGGGAATCCTGTGGAATTCAGACGCACCTGCGCCAGAGCGACGGACAAACAACCTGGGGTATCGGCTTTGGGTGGACCTCTTCTGTGGTGTTTGAATTGTTGGAGTGCTTTTGGCAGAGGTTTGGAGATAAGAAAAGGTGCTTTACACATTTATCGGGAGTTCTTTCAGTCGGGGGTGACAATGTGTTTGTTGTCTCTTGTTCGCCCAGAAGCCACAAGGGGCATTGTCTCAGGCTACGACAGCTTGGACATCAACTTCACAAATGCTGGATCGCTCAAGCGGCAGGCGGGTGACATACGCGACCCTCGCTGACGCGGTATGAACCGAACCGTTACAGCCCCGAACGGAATTGTCCTATTGACCCGGGTGCAAAACCCGGGTCTGGAGAAACCAGGTATGCAATGCAAATATCAGTTTGTGAAGCTTGCATTCGGGGAGCGGTAGTTTTTTGGGTACCCCAAAACTTGCTGGTGCTCAGTAGGGAATGATTTTGCAGGTGTTGGGAATGAGCCGTTTGGCATTCTCGAAGTAAAGGAAACCGTAGGTGCTGGCTTATTTCGGGGCCATTCCATTTTTCATTCCCTGCCTATCGAGCCAGCCAGAGAAATGGGGTCCATGTTGAGCCCACGGTCAGGGCTCTCACTTGGCTTTGGGTCAACACCAATGGGATCCCATTTCGGGGTTGGTGAATTCACCACCCATTTTAGAACCTATTTCAGTGGGGATTGGGATGTTCACTGGGGGCCAACCCGGGCTTCTGACCCAGAGGCACAGACGGAGCCGGTTTGCCGCAGGTGCGGCACGGCAAGCACGTGGAGCCCCTGACCAAGATCCTGGCCTCCTGCGAGATGCTCCCTGTGAAGGCCACGGATGGGGCTGGGGGAACCCCACTGAAGAGCTGCCTTCAACGGATTTTAGCGGGGCATCCCGGCTGAAATGGGTGGGTTTCTCTTTGGTGTCCATGTATCTGACCAAAAAGGGGGGTGCCATGATTGGGAGAATTGAAAACTGGGCATTGAAGTTCCACACCCGCTTCGCAGTGTATCTTTTACTTTCACCCCTGTCCGGGGACATTTTGGCGTTCAACGTGAAACCGGAAGGTTCCTGTGGGTCCTTTCGTGCGCTCGAAATCCAGTCTGCGTTTAGAAAGCCCGCGGGCTCTTGACAAGTGGAGTGGTGGATTGCGCGGTCCCTCGGATTAATCAACTTGGCGAACTAATGTTATAATGAACCCTTCAGCACCCCCAACGACAGCTTATTCCCCTGTTAAAATGCCTAAGTACTGTCCAAAAAGCAGTGGTTGTGGGGTGCACTCTGCAAATGAATGACTTGTTCCCCGACCCAAATCTATCTAAAGTAGGATTAGCCAACACTAAACACATGCTAAACCAGCAAATTGCCGCCCACCCCAACTCGAGCCGTTTTGGGGACGACGCTTGAGAACCATTACCAAAGCAGTGTTAAACCAATCGAAACAGCAAACATCTGAAGCATCACATAGGTTCCAGTTTTGGGAGGAGGGGCAGAATCACCATTCGCTGCCAGGATGATGGTCAAGACAAGTTGATAGGGGCCACTCTCCCCCCATGGGCCGGGTTTGCCACCCGCTTCCGGCCAGCAAGATCCCCATAATTGAAAAATGCAAGGTTACGGTAAAACAAATGAAACAACTCTCCAAAGCTGCTGGGAAAGTTCGGCTTAACCCATGGCAACCCGATGGCAATTCCCACAGACCAATCCATGAGAACTTGGACCCACGAAGAGTTGAACTCTTGGCAGGGGATCTGAGGACAGAGGTTGAGCAAGCCTTTCTGGCTATTTGGTCGAAAGTTTGGACCTCAACTGGTTGGCATAGGTGGGAGATTTTCCATTGGACCCACAAAAAGGGGTCAACCTTTTTGCAGAGGGGGTCTCGCCAACACCTCAGTGTAGGCCCACTTGCCGGACGCCATGATGCAAGCGCGCTACCCTACCGCGCCGCGGGAGGCCAAATGGGCGGATGGCATACGGGTTCGTTCCAATTCAGGGGACCCAGTTCGATTAAATGGGTTCGGAACCAAGGCCCAAATACGGACCAGCTGGGCCTTGTTTTGTTCTCCTGGCGCACATACTTACATATTTGTATGTTAAAAAAAAAAAAAAATGTATTTGTATATATACACGTAAAACATATATGTGGCGACTGAAAAGCTCTTCCCAGCTCTGAATGGGATCGTCGGGAGTGGACATTCCATCCCCGTGTTTTCCAAGGGGTCTATCTCCAAATGCACCCAGGCGAGTGGTTTGTGGTACACTTGTACGCTTGCCGGCGGTGTGGACGTGGATCCCAAGTGCTTTGCTCACAGCGTTTTAGGGTCACACCATGGACGTAGAAAGCCACACCCCGTTCATGCTTTACCCACTTTTAA